AGGGCGCTGCAAGGGACACGGTTGAATGCCAGAGGCGTGTCAACCAAGACAGCCCAACAACATCCAGAGACTTAAGGCAAATGAGTCTAATCAACAGTTTTGGAAAACAAGTCTCAGCCCCACTCCCTCCTTCAAGAGCAGGCAGGGCGGCAGCAGTTTTGCTTCTCTTTTCTGTTTCAATAACGTCTCCTGTGTTGCAGCAGGTTACCAACCTAATACCAATTAGATCACTTCCTAGATGTTGTGTAGATATCGGCATGACTGATATCAAGTCCTCACGCCCTTTTGAGCTCACTATATCTGTGTTGGCATGTGAGTCGGAGAAACAAAATCTTCCTATGTAGTCACGGCTTGATAAGTTACAGAAGTGTATAATCTGGAAAATTGTGTGTGTGTGTGTGTAGCGGGGGCAGGAAACAATCAGCCTTGGGTGTCCATGAGTAAGGCTCACAATCAACAGCTGCTCCGATGAAGCTGCACAGGATGGTGCTGTAGCTGTACCGGGCAGCTCCTAGATGACCATGCGACTGTATGACAGAGTAGGACTGAGTGGGATAGAAGAGCGAATATAAAAACTCCTCTGCACAGTCAATAAAAACAGACTCACCCTTCCAATGACACCTTCACAGTTTGTCTTCAAACAATTTATGTATTCATCACAATGTATCTTCAGAATAGCTCACCTAATAATATGCTTTGTTCTTGGCTGCAGAGAGCTCATCAGCAATAGTAATTACCTTTACACAGGCTCTAGTGCTTTGATGTGTCTATGTGCAAGTGCATGAGAAAGTGTGTGTGTGTGTGTGTGTGTGTGTGTGTCACCAGCATCCTTCACACACACCACATGCTGGGCTTTTTCATTTTGATTTGAAGGGACTGGCGAGAAACACTACATTACCGTGCAGACCACCATTCCACGCACACTGTCATCATCGTTTGAGAACTTAATTACCGTGGTACAAGATAAAAACTCATTAGCACGTCTCTCACAGGGTGGCTGCTAGCCTGATGACGAAGAGGGCCGCACTCACCGCCTTCTTCTCTCTTTTAATCCTGACAGTCGAACACATTCATGCCGACACAACACAATACACGACAACAGATACACACCCACACACACGGGCGTTCATCACAAAGTCTTTCATCAGTGTCACAAATCCTGAGACAGATGGGAGTAGAAACACTGAGACACAGAGTTAGCTCTAGCGCTCGATAAAGAGCAGTGTGGAGAAGTGTGGTGCGCCACTGGTTTCTAAAAGCAGTTTCATTATGAAATACTGAGTGTGGACTGAGAGGGAAAATGGCTATTTAAATTTAAATCTACAACACTAAAACATACAAAATTTTAAGGGGTCCAAGTAGTGAAGCCACTGTATAGTGAATATATAGAGTGAAAAGTCGAAAGTGAAAAGGCCCGACTCTTTTTTTCATTCTGCATTAAAAAGGCTATTAGAGACAACATCCAACAAACAAGCCGCTTCCCTGTAAAGTTGGATGGCTAAACATGAAACCTTCATTGTCTATACATACATTGTATGCATTTTTCCATGTTGCTTGACAAAATACCTGTCTTAGGTAGTAGGTCAAGAATGAACTTTCAAGGTCCACACAAACACACGAGGCTCAAACCCGGAACTTTCTAGCTGTGAGGCGACAGCGCTAACCACTGCTGCCTGCAACAGGTGTCAGAAAAGCAGAAAAATACTGTGTGTGCATGTGAGTGTTGTGAGAGGAGCTTTACCAGCCAGCTGCTCTCAGTTCTGGCTGAATTAAGTTCTGACTTCAGGGAGTCGCTCTGCTTGATGGCAAAGCACCATGACTAAACCAATGCAGAGAGACTGGCTTTCATAACTTGTTCATAGAGTTATTTATATGCCATTTCTGTCTAATTTGACTACAGACAGTACAGATGTATGTTGGAGAAGTAGCGGGGTTTAGTTTGGTGGTTATACTGTTAATTCAGTTCCATTTTTGAAATTGTTCACTTTATAAAAATATCCTACAGTGTCAAGGCACATGATCTTATAGGCACATATGGAATAAGTAAAAAGTTTACTCTTTGGCTTTAGAACAACTTGAGTCGCCCTTGTCTTGTTATTCTGCATAGTGAACTGCAGTGGGATATCAGACCTACTCACCCTACTGGATGGGGCATAGGAGAGATTGACACAGACATGGTAGAGTTCTGCTTTCTCCCTCTGAGCTTTGCACTTGTTTAATATCTTTAATACCTCAGAAGACTTGTGTAATCGTGTGCCTCATAATCACCATGAGAGTCAGGCAGAGAGCAGGTAAAGTGGTATACATTGCCACTAGGTTGTGGCTACTCGTGAGCTGATGGCACATTATACTGCTGCCAGTGTTTGTGCTCTGTTCCTGGGCGTAGTTGTTCTGAACCTGTCCTCTAGTCAGATTGTTCATTAAAAGCAGCCTTGGGCTTCACATGACCATGCAATGGCTGAATAACTGCTGTCAATGCTTATGACAGCTGTCAGCTTATGCCTCTTTATCTGTGCAACAGCTTTTTTGTGTCAGTCCTCATCAGGGAGCTTCAGTTGCACCGATCATTCTTAGTAGGAGCTAACAGTCTGATTCTCGACACTGTTCCTTTGCAGGATTTATAACTGATACACCATGCTATGCTGTGATATCTCTTTCAACCTCTAATAGATTCTTGAAGCTCCCTTGAAGATCCACGTACACAACTACGGTGATAATTAACATTCTCCTTGGTTTCGTAGCTTGTGATGTAGCGGTGTGGTGATTCTTTGTCCACCTGTGTGCTCTCTCAGGGATTCTGTTAACAGACTAGCACCGAGACCAGATTTATGTACACATCTATGCTCATAAAATATTTAAGTAAACGACTGAGAAGATACTGACAATGGTAAATCTCCAAGGATTGTGTGTCTGAGAGCAGCTGCTTTCAACACAACATAAGAAAGCTACAACTGGCAGCAAACAGGAAGAAAAGGAGGATGACGCACACACACACACAAACAGGTGTCTCTGCAACAAATGCCCCTAATGAAGAAAAGGAGGATGATGACGAAAATGCTGACGTCAGGTGGAGACAGGCACACATACACACAGACTCGCACCTGCAGTATCAGACATACGGGCAGATGCAGCATCCAAGAACACTAGCACAAAAACCACACAGAAAAAAATGACACGCACAAACTAGCACAAAAACCACACAGAAAAAAAATGACATGCACAAACACACACACACATTGTTGTTTTCATCACTTTGTTGTTTTCGTCCCTACACAGACATTCATTTCCTTTACAATCCCCACAAGTACAAGGACACACACACCCTTCCCAGGAGCTACAGACCTTCATGACAAAGAAGAGCAGCAGGATGACAAACACGCTGACATCAGGGTGCAGCCAGGCAGCGGAGCGGCCCAGACCAACCGGAGGGGGGGACCCCGAAATCTTCGTCCAGGTAAAGTTATCAAACAGAGAGTTGATACTCTCCCTGGGCATCAGCTAGAGGGGGGAAGGGGAGGGGGAGGAGGGTGAGACAGATGAGATAATGAGAGGAGTAAAAGAAATAATTAGGAGGAAGTGGAGAGAAGAAAGATGGGGATGTGGTAAAGAAGGGAAAGA